AAAGCCTCCCCGAGAGGAGAGCTGCCCTCCTGCCCCAGTCAGGGCCGGCCTTGCAGGAGAGGAGCAGGACGGCGCTCGGCCAGCGCTTCTCGGACTGCATCTCCTCTCCCACAATCGGAACACGAGCCGGGCGGGAAGGCGTCCACTTTGCAGAGTGAATGCGGCAGGCAGGAATGGACCAGTGCTCACAGAATGCAAGTTCTCAGACCTTTCTAAAGGGACAGTGCAGTGAGACGAGGGGCTTTCGGGGGAACCCTCCACGCCTTTTGGGAGCAGCCGACGAGGGTGCTTAGAAGATGGAGCAGCCCGATGATGAAGAGGCTGCCAAGACTCTGAAGTGCCGCTAGCAGCTGTCGGGACCACAGGACCACAAAGGCCTTGGGGACACAGGGAGGGAGTGGGGAAAGGGGGCAGGAACCGAAAAAACAAGCCGTGTTAAATTGTGATTTAGCTACAGGTTAGGCAACCCCTGCAGGTTAACGAAAGCATTGGTTGTTGCTACACGTGAACCAGCCTGTGTAGTCCGAATGCCAGGAATTCCTAGCCCTCTACTTTTATCATGAAGAATACTTATTTCTTGAGTCAAAACATGCTGGTTAAGGCTAAGTGCTGGTGATGAAGGTTAAGTTCTCTTACAGACACTTCTTTCTGAACAGCACCACAACTGCTCATGCCTAGACAAGCAAAACTAGAAGGCAGCAGGGAAGGAGAAGCTATATTAAGCAGAGTTCCTTCCCTCCACCCGCCTGCACCTCCCTTGCCCTTCTCCTCACTGCAACCATGGGTTTTACACTTCAGGTGAAAGCTTCTTTGTAAAAACAGGAAGGTGCCCAACTCATGCATTTTAATCTAAACCTGAAAGCCACAGAAACAGAGCATTGCATAATGTTGAGGAACTGTGTTCTGGTACAAGGAACTGCTTAACTAAAAATTTCCCTTTCCGTTTATAAACTGGATGCTTCTCGTTCGCTGCTGCCTTGTCTTGCTTGCGTAAAAATCAGGAAGAGCAGATAGACCCAGGTTCACCAATGAAGAAAGTAGCTTCCCCCAGACAAATGATAGGTTCCCGCACCAGGCCACACCGAGCAAGGAAATACAAGGGAGCCTTCCTCCTTCGTTTACATTCAAATTAACAAGGCTTGTTCTATTCAAGGCTCGGCCCCTCCTTTCAGCGCTCCATCCCCGTTGCCATGGGAACGGTGCACCCACAGGCTTTCAAGCGTAGCAACAGGCCAAGCTTAGCAAGGAGTGTGAAAAGGGGAGCGAGTCAAAGGGTACAATTTGGCTCAGGGAGATCTGAATGCCAACCTTTGTCAAGCGACAAAAGGCCAGTATCCATAGGAACTGTGCTTTGCTGAGCTCCCACAGGGCCTTGCCAACAGAGGGGCCCCGAAACATGATACGGGAAACAAAGGCAAAGGTGCGTGAAACACATTTACGTTGCTCTGGGAGGGGTTTTGCCGAGACCCACGCCACAGCATTTTTAGGCTGTGGCAATTCAAAACGCAGAGCAAAATCTCCAGCACTGTTCCCTCATTCTATACTGATGGGACCCATTTAGCTTTTTCTGCCGTTCCAGTAGCTGATTCGGTTGGCAATTTAAACAAAATTATCACTTCACCACTAGAGGCTGAGCTCAATTTGGGATGTCTGCGACGGACTGAACAGCGGCAAATAAATATAAGAACGCACTTAAAGAGAACTATCTACACCCAGGGCACTCAAATCGCCTTTCCAAGAGCTCTAAAGATCTAAGTAGTTATGAAGACCAAACATCACATATGCTTTTTGTCACCAAAAAACTAGATTCTAGTACATTCCATGGGGAGGCAACCTTGGAAGGTGACATATAGGGCAGAAGCCCACTGTTTTCCCCAGCAGTGACAGCACCGATACCACTCAAGAGGAAGGGCCTTTCTCGAAGAGAGAAAGAGAAAGGAGACCCCCAGCACTGGCAGCCGACAGAGGGAACCTACCAGGAGCAACTGGACCCCTGGGCTTGCATTGCTCCCTTCCACCCAGCCCAATAATCGGACTGGCTGCTTCAGCAGTCTAGGATACGAAGAACTGGGAGAAGGCGCGACTTTCCAAGCGGCACTGTGGGGGGAAATCTCCACATTACGAAGCAGAAAGTACACAAGGTGGAATATCACTTTCTACACAGCTTTTGAAGATGCAGAAGGTACGCCCTGGGAGTCCTTTGCCCACTTGGCTTCCTCAGCCACAGGCCTCCAGTTTAATGCTGGCTCAGCACCTCAGATATTTTACTGACTGAATACTTGCTATTTATATATTGCAGCTATCATCGTATACTACGTAAAAATGCATGTTAGAAGAGAGAGGATTTGCAGGGTTGGATAAAATGCATGTTGGAAGCATGATCAGTTGTAAGCCTTGGTAGAAATACTTCAGGTGCACCACCAGAACAGAGAGAAAGAAGCAGATCAATCTTACTTTTTATGAAGGAATCCATCAGGCTATTAAAATCAGAGAGAGAAAGGGGGGTTATTTATTATTAGATTTATATCTCACCTTTTTTCTTTACAAAGAACTCAAAGTGGATTACATGATTCTCCTGCTGCTGCTCTCAGTCTTACCCCCACAACAACAACCCTGTGAGGTAGGTTGGGCAAAGAGTCTGTGACTGGCCCAAAGTCACTCAGCTGGCTCCATGGCAGAGCGGAGACTCGAACCCATGTTGCCTGAGTCCCAGTCCCACGCTCTTAACCACTACACCACCCTGGTTCTCGCACTGCTTCACCTTTTTCAACATAGTAATCCCCCCATAAGTCTTTCCTAGACATTCTGAATTAGCCATAATACTATGCCATCTGGCTGGACGACCCTAAAAAACAAAGCCAGTATACACAAGCTAAAGCACACAACTGGCCAACTTAAAAATATGTTCTTGGAGTAAAGGGTACATGTTTAACTACAAAGTACAATATCCCAAACCTGTACTCACATTTCTAGTTGAGTTTTACTATATACTATTTCCTTTCCATACTTGCGTGCAAATTTGTTTATTGCATTTCTAAACTGCCATTCTGCATATTCAGCACTAAGTGAGAGTAGTTTCTCCCACTATACTTCTTTGCTGGATATGGAACAATATTGGAAAAAATCAGAGCCAACTTTTGAAGGGACTCTAACCATTCTAAAAATCAAGGAAATTACTATTAAGAATAAGAAAGTGGCAATAAAAGCTACCTCAACAGATTTAACTCTTTCTCCCTACAGATGGGCAAATGCTTATATGTATGCAGATTTTGATTTGTAAGTTGATAACAGTCTACACAGTACTGACCAATGCTGGACAGCTCCGAGTTGCTCTGCTCACACAATCTGAACAGCTTAATTTTCAATAAATTCAATAAATTCAATAAATTCAATCCTTTCAGCCTTGAATTTATGTCAAGGATCTGCCCCCCCCCCCCCCAAAAAAAACACCTCTTCTCACTTCAAGGCATTCTTTGGCAGCATCATGACCAGGATTTAGGAGCAACTACAGCAACATCAGCAGTAGCTTTGCCAGCAGGTGCCAAGTCTCCATCAATCAGTCTGAACCAGAAGAACAACCCAGGTAGAGAAGATCCTGCCTCCTCAGGAAGGAAGTCTGTGCACAAGCCAGGATCCCCTTGTGTCACATACCAGGGGAAGTAAGGCTTGCAGCCCAAGCTTCAGCAAGCAGAGAGAATATCCAATATATATAGTTCACAGTGTTGCGAGATGTTCTTTCTGACTGAATTACCTTTGCTCTTGCATGTGTATTCTGAGTTGTTATTAGGCATGTCAGAAGGAGTGGCATGCAAGATCTGAATCTAACCTATATTTGAGTGTTTTCATTTTGGTCTTTTGTGGTGATCTCAACCATATTGGGATGCTGTATCACCAGCAACATGACGACAGCACTGAGGGCAAACAAAGCCAGTGATCGGCCTTCTATAACAGGGAAAATCCTGAGATGCCTAGAAAGGCCTCAGGAGTTACAGGCAGCCTATAAATGCATGCATGCATGCATGCATGAACGAACAAAATCTTTGATTCGGGCAAGAAAGAATGCTCAAGCAGGAAGGGTGTATTATAGGAGGTAATTAGGCTACTCTGCTCTTTTCCACACTAGCTTGTTTAAGATGAAGCAGGGAAAAAGAGCCTTGGTTATGAAGGGGAGCTGCTGCAGAGCAGAAAAATCTTGAGTGGACTTCAGTAGGAGAGAAAGAAAGTCTGCTTCATGGATGTTCAGACCCTGGTTTTGAATACAAATGCTTGCTCTGCTGGGACCTGCCAGGGAAATAAGCGCAATACTTTTCAGGAGACCTGCACAGGATTCAGGCCTGTCAAGTACCATGCCATACACACAATTCTCTCTCCTCTTTAATTCTGGGGTGGGTGGCAGGCTGGAAAGGGTGAAAAGAAGCACTTTTCCCATGCTCTTACCAGTCAAAAGATGTTTGGCAAGTAAGCCTGGGCACGATTTGTGGACCCCTGGCCAATAATAATGGAACAGCAGTTCCTTGACTATCTGCTCTGGTGTGGGGGCAGCCCCACCATCAACTATTGGTTCTCTGCTACTTGGAATTCCTGTACTGGAGTCTGATGAAAGCTGCTTACCCAGACAAGCAAGTTCCGTGGCAGGGCAGAGAAAACATGCGGTGAAAATTTAGTTGGATGCTTTCCAAACACAAATATCATAAATAGTTGTGTTTATCATAAATATCACACCCTGTGAATCCCTTGTGTGTGCAGCCACATGTGACTGTCCCAGCAGGCATTTTCCACGCAGCTAATTTTCTGTGCAGATTATTACTAATGTGCAATGTGCTCCCAATAATATTACCTTGAAATGCACATGAATTCATGCACACTTCATCATTACAAGCATATGAGTGAAAATCTAGATTAGGGCGCACACTCCCTTCAATTCCCCAGTAATAAAGGCGATTCCACCAGCAGTTAATGCTGTCGCATGGATATTCTAGAGGGGAAAGTTAAGTGCTTACCTCCATCGCTAGAGCTGCTGTTTGCTGATCATAATGATTCAAAAGGTTAGGCATAAATGTTGTGTTGTAAGGAAGATCCTGGCACATCCTCAGGATGATGGGCTCACACGAGAACAGGCTGTGGCTACCTGTTGGTCCTACCAGGACAGCCAAAGGCCACAGGCAGTGGATCATCCAGTTGGCAGCCATCCTTCTACAGCGATCACGAGAGTCTTCCGGTTATTTAGCAGACATTACTGGATATCCGTGCACCATACTCAGCTTTGCTAAGGTTCTTCGGAGACTGAATGACTCCTTGTATTCGGCGAACTTAGCATAGTCCAATAGAATGTTTTCACTCCCAAAGCATTAACAGGGAACTTCATCTTGGCCTTATCCTTCATTTCACTACAAAAGTTGCACTAGGTCGTCACAGCAGGTTGATTTAACCACATTCCCAAACAGACCCCATGATGACAGGCAATCTTCTTTTATTAAGCCATCTAGAAAACAGAATTGTTAAACTGTATTGTTAACCATTCAGAGTGGCATATTAATTGTAAATGCTAGTGCCGGACCCTGTCACTCATAGTGTATCAACCCAAGCTTACATACTCCTCCTGTTCAGTCCTTCACCTGCGTTTTGCCACTTGGAATAAGACGGTGAGTACAATGCCACAAGCCATTACGGTACTCAAATCTCATTTTGTGAACATTTTCAAAGAGTCCCCATTACCACTTTTTATGTTCCTGAATATATCTTAATACATAATAAATTGAATTCCATTCTGTTTCAACGGGGCAGGACTCATGTGATTTTCTCTACAATGCACCCTCTTCTTGCAAGGGGCTATTTCATCAGAAAAAAGGAGGGAAGGCGCTACTAGATTGGTTATGCGTTCCAGGAACAGCAATATTATCCACTCTGTGTCTAAACACAGAAAATATATTTCATGCAACCACATGAATTTTGGAAGGGATGGCAGAAGCACTCAGCATAAATCAAGGAAGAACACACAGCAAATAATCCTAAAATGGACTATGGAGTTACAGCAGACATCTTTCTAGAGTTATCATCATAAGAATCCTGTTGGATCAGACAAAAGGCTTAAGTTAACCCTTTGTAGCCTGCCGCCCTACAGATGTTTTGGAGTTTTCCAGTCAGCATGTCCACTGCTCAGGAATTATGGGAGTTGTAGCCCACACATCTGTAGCACATCAGGTTGGAGAGAAGGTCCACATCCTATTTCCCACAGTGGTCAAGCAGACACCCACAGAAAGCCAACAAGCAGGACTGCAACTGGCATTCAAAAGGCAGCAAGTGGCCACTAATAAAATTCTGCATTGAAAATTACATCTGAGGATAAGAGAAACCACACTGGCCAAGTGATTTCCACCGAACAAAAACCTTCATTGGCAATGATTAAAGAGGAAAGTCACAGTCATTCTAGCGCTCAAGCTCTTCCGTTGCATTGAATGTGCTTACCATCCCTCCAAAAACTCAAGCTTACATATGAAGCATTTTTATCTAAGAAGGAAAGCCATTTGGAAGTTTTACCCTGGAAAAGAAATTTGGGAAGGGAAGAAAACAGCCAACACGTCTGTGCTGTCTGAATGGTGGTTCACCCAGTCTTAACTCCACTGATTAAAAGGGGCAGGGACCAATTTTAATCAGCAATTAAGATGTTGGTTGATTAAAGCTTCTATTAAATCGATGTAAAGCTTTCAATTCTCGTGGATAGTTTATGGTGTTTATACTAACACACCATACATTTGAAAATCAGATGCCCAATGAACTGGCCATTTTAAGCCAACTAAAAAGAATCATATTGGTATAAATCTAGTATTGATACAGCCTTGAACAATTAAGTTTATAATTCAGAGAAACAGAAAGCTTACAATTATTCATTAACCTTTACTTTGTAGCTCATTAAAATTCAATTTTCCAGGCGTTGTATAGATCTAGGAAACTTTTTTCACTGTGGGGGACACATTAATAGTACCATTAGAAGGAAAAATGCTGTTAATTGGTGCATTCTTTACACCATATAACTGACAATCTGCAAATCATTTTCATACACAGCAGATGCTAAAATGAGGCTGAGCAGAAATATTACGTAAGAGCATTACTCAAAGACAGGTGTCATCCAGGCATGAGAAGATTCTCTCTGGAAAGTTCAGCACACCTCCCATCTGGGGACAGTGACCTAGGCAGCTTCCCGATGCTGAGTCAGACCCTTGGTCCACCTAGATCAGGACAGTCAATTTTATCGGGCGACCACAACTCTCCAGTTCTTCAAGCACGATCCCCTCTTTGCTCCACTTGGGAGATGTTCCAAGTGAACCTGGGACCCTCTGCAAAGTAGGCGCTCAACCCCTGAGCTATGGTCCCTCTCCAAGCAGAGAAAAGCGGCCGGGGGGGGGGGGGGGCTGCCCCAGTAGGAAGCACACAGGCAAGGCAGATGCTAGAGAACATACCAAGTTGTTCCATTCTAAGCTGAACTACTGGGCCAGGTAGACAGTGCAGCTACACTGTCTAACAGCAGCTCTCCAGGGTTTCAAGGAGAAATGGAGAACTTACTGCCAATAACGGGCGTGAGTCAGAAGAGAGATGCTTCGTTCAACCCTGGACTTACTGCACATCACACACGTGCTGCAAAACTGCTCACGGCCACACAAATAAAACATTTTCGTACTACTTCGATATAAATATTTGGGAAATAGGTGAGAACTCCTTTGATTTCTAGTTTCCTTTCTTTTGACGGGTGTGGGTGTTCTTAGTTAAACCTCTCTGCAACAGTGAAAGCTAGAAATCTTTTTTAAAAATAAGAATAACCTGACATGGTCCACTTCAGAGGCATGCAGCGATGCAGCAACTATCTGCCACTGTGACGCTGCCCTGCCACCACCCACTCCGCCTCCCTTGGCATAATGGCGGGGAGGCACAGAGAGGGAGGGAAGCACAGGCGTGACGCAACCACACAATGCACTCTTGCACACTTGTCAGACGGAGTCAAGCATCCGGTTGCACGGGTCAACTTAAGCGGCCCTCTGAAGAGGACGACAACTTGCATCTTCCGCTTGCTCTCACTTGCACTCGTGTAGAGCCATTAAGGAACAGCAAGAGTCCTTCACTGCCTTTTTCTGACCTGAACTTTGATGCAAAGAAATCCTTGCATCCCTTCCAAGCCTTTCGCAGTATTATGGGACTTGGAAGGTGACTTGAACAAAGGCAGCCTAGCTAGGGAGTCAATGCAGTATCTGCATCGTGTTCTATAGGATACAGAATAGAATCCCTGGATTCTCGTGTGTCAGCTCACTCTTTAAGAACATACAAGACTTTTAGAAAGTAGGCAGAGGATAAACGTAATAAAATGAGTGCATGGACAAACAAATCTACAACTGACTTGTGGTTTAAAAATATCCTTACCACTTTCTGGATGGCAACTCTGCTGCATCTCACTGCCCACATTCACACTCTCTCTCTACATCTTTCACTAGACGAGCCTTCACCGACGGAGTAGCCAGCAGGATGGGGAAGGGGGTGAGATGCTGAAGCAGGGGATGATGGAAACCCGCTTCTCCAGGAGTTCTGGCCTGCCACTTCCCATCGCTGAACGTGCTGGCAAGGTCCGATGCGAGTTGCATGCCAAAGCATCTCACAGGACCGGAGATGTGGGACTACCGCCGCACCCCGGAAAAGCTGTCCACCCATTAAGCTCCTGATGGCCCATCGCTGCCTGACTGGGCAGCAGCAGAGCAACCAGCTCACCTGCAACTGGGCTGGCACCTGACTGTCCTGTATGCCAAAGCGCTGCTCAGCTGGCAAGTCAGATAATGACAAATGAGGTCAGAGAGTCAATATACGTAAAGCGCTGGTGGGCTAGAACAAGGAATGCAGAGAGAACGATGCTGCCTGTACAGAACGGATTGGGCAAAGAGCCCCCAGACAGGAACTGGCCGACCTGCTGACTAGCACCCCAATTTCAACCGTCCCTGCCAATCAAGGCAGCCAAATGAGCAGCAGCACTTTGCACAGGAAACGCTTTTCTGTCGTGTTCAGCAGTGCAATTGGTACCGTACGCCTCAAATTTCATTATGGCTCTCATGTGGGAGTGACTGGCTGCCTCAGGGAAGGCGAACACGGGACACCCCACTCCACCAGCTCAGCCCGGAGCAAATGCCCCCTTGGCTTCTCCCTGGACAAACTCCTATTATGCAACAGTATGAAATAGCTTTCAGTTGAAATTGCTCATCAACCACTTCTCTCCTGGGCCCCTTTCCATTTTCTCTCTTAGATTATTAAGGTATTATTTTAAACTTCAAACAGTGTTCTATGCTTTAAAAAAACACAGTATATAATAAATTTAAAAAAGAAACCTGATGACATAAACCACTGACAAAGTGCTTTCTACTAATAATGTTTACCAGAAATGCAACCAAATGGAATTTACTCCAAACTGTCAATTATTCCAGATGTGTGGCCTGAAGCTGCAAGGGATCATGATGATTCAGGATTTACAAAGCATTAAGTTTTGAATGTGAGTACTATGTGCCATGACTTTTTCCAGACAGCTTATGATTTATGCAATGCAGATGGTTTTGCAGGTAAACTAAGATATAGGCACTCCAGGATAAAGGCTATATAGAGGCAGCAACAAAGTGCAGATTAATATCAGCAGAATCATAGCCCATGAAAAAAACACCTTAAGCAACTGACTCAGTATGAAAATGCATTTCAAATTAGCCCATTAAAACTTTGACTTTTATTTGACAATATCTGGCCCTAACTAATAATCTCAGCAATCCAGCACCTTCAAAGGAAAAAATCTCAGGTGTAAAACAATATGCCAAGAGGGAAAGAACACAGTAAGTAATAGCGATAGGAAGGTAATCCAAGAAATACTCGAACTGAATCCAACCACACAGAAGTCTCAACTGCAATCAAGAGGTGTGCCAGATTCCTAGGTATTGATAGGCCGTGCTATAAAACATTTAGATTTGTCTCTTAAGGGTGCGATCCAGTTTTTGCACTCTTGAGGGTGCGATCCTATGCAGTTTGCCCTTGATGCATGCAGGCCTGTGTGAATCCAGCACAAGGCAAGGTAATAAAAATCGTCACTGTCCCAGACTTTGCATCCTCTATTTTCATCAGACAAATATTTTCAGCTGCTCAGATGAAGTATAATGGCGGGGAAAGAAAGGAAACC